CATGGTCCATCCCTCAGTGCCTCCTCCCAGTCCATCCCTCAGCGCCTCCTCATGGTCCATCCCTCAGTGCCTCCTCCCAGTCCATCCCTCAGCGCCTCCTCATGGTCCATCCCTCAGTGCCTCCTCCCAGTCCATCCCTCAGCGCCTCCTCATGGTCCATCCCTCAGTGCCTCCTCCCAGTCCATCCCTCAGCGCCTCCTCATGGTCCATCCCTCAGTGCCTCCTCCCAGTCCATCCCTCAGCGCCTCCTCATGGTCCATCCCTCAGTGCCTCCTCCCAGTCCATCCCTCAGCGCCTCCTCATGGTCCATCCCTCAGTGCCTCCTCCCAGTCCATCCCTCAGCGCCTCCTCATGGTCCATCCCTCAGTGCCTCCTCCCAGTCCATCCCTCAGCGCCTCCTCATGGTCCATCCCTCAGTGCCTCCTCCCAGTCCATCCCTCAGCGCCTCCTCATGGTCCATCCCTCAGTGCCTCCTCCCAGTCCATCCCTCAGCGCCTCCTCATGGTCCATCCCTCAGTGCCTCCTCACAGTCCATCCCTCAGCGCCTCCTCATGGTCCATCCCTCAGTGCCTCCTCCCAGTCCATCCCTCAGCGCCTCCTCATGGTCCATCCCTCAGTGCCTCCTCCCAGTCCATCCCTCAGCGCCTCCTCATGGTCCATCCCTCAGTGCCTCCTCACAGTCCATCCCTCAGTGCCTCCTCACAATCCATCCCTCAGTGCCTCCTCACAATCCATCCCTCAGTGCCTCCTCACGGTCCATCCCTCAGCGCCTCCTCACAGTCCATCCCTCAGTGCCTCCTCACAGCCCATCCCTCAGCACCTCTCCTCACGGCCCATCCCTCAGCCCCATCCCTCAGCACCTCCTCACAGCCCATCCCTCAGTGCCTCCTCACGGTCCATCCCTCAGTGCCTCCTCACGGTCCATCCCTCAGTGCCTCCTCACGGTCCATCCCTCAGCGCCTCCTCACAGTCCATCCCTCAGTGCCTCCTCACAGTCCATCCCTCAGCACCTCCTCACAGTCCATCCCTCAGTGCCTCCTCACAGTCCATCCCTCAGCGCCTCCTCACGGTCCATCCCTCAGTGCCTCCTCACAGCCCATCCCTCAGTGCCTCCTCATGGTCCATCCCTCAGTGCCTCCTCACAGCCCATCCCTCAGCACCTCTCCTCACGGCCCATCCCTCAGTGCCTCCTCACAGCCTCATCTTACAGCACTTTCTCCTAGCTGGCATCAGAACAGCACTTCCTGCTGGGCAGGGGGCTCTCACCTGGTCCTAGCACTCAGAAGGCTGGGGCAAGAGGAATACTGTGAGTTCAAAGCCAGCCTGGCTACAGAGTGAGACCATCTCAGAAGAGCAGGGAAAGGAAAGAGGAGAAAGAAGGGGGGAGATGGGGAGATAAGACACTGCTTCCTGCCCTCCCCCTTTGGGGCTGGTAACACTATGGATATTGCCAGCTCAATGCTCCAGCGTTCCTTATTCTTGAAGTAGGCCCTTAACCCTGGCCATCTCTTGCTATAGGCTCATTTGGTTAAATACATTCCGAGCCTATCTGAGGGTGCCTTCTGCTTGCTGCTGGAGCCTGCTAGACAGGGCTTCTTCTCATTGGATCTCTACCTCCTGGCCTTTGATATAAATAAGAAAGCCCGCTGACTTCACAGACAACTCTGCATCTGCCTAAGCAACCTCCTGTGATGTCCTCAAATTTACCTACAATATCCTTCTAACATCTCTGGTCATTCCTTTGAAACAGTCTGTTATTTAAAAATTAAAGAAAAGTTCCCATAGACTAACTCAGTACTGTACAGCCGTGTGCTAGTCTGAAAGAAATTATGTCTTTCCCTTTGTAATCAGCAGGACACCAACATTCTGTGTAGAGTAAGTACTGGCAGGTTCTTAGTTGGCTCAGAAACCGTTCTTCCTCTCCAGCTTATTAGTCAATCAGCAGGATTCAAAGAACCTGCCATTCATAAGTGACCCTCCAATCAGCAATGTCGGCTTTAGAGACCTTGCTAGAGAGCCTCCAACAGTCAACTGTCTACATCCATGTACACAGGCCAATAGCCCACAGAAGGTGACCAAATACTTCTAAGATGAGGGGAGAAGCAAAAGAGGGAGGAATAGACACTGAAGTCAAAAACAAACATCTCTGCTTTCTCTCCCCTGAACACATCAGCAAATGAGGCCTTACTGGTTCCCTGAACTAGTAAACAACTATGAAGTGAACTCCCTTGGTCTGTTGCTTATTTGCCTTAGTCTAAAATGGAAAAGTAAACAAAATAACACCATAAATCTTTGTTGTTTGATGTAAGGCTAATAACTGGCTTTCAGCTACTTTAAACAAAGTTGCAATCACTCATTATGCAACAAATTCCCTAAATGACTTAAAATGTTTGGCTCTCAAAGAAAAGTGCAAAACAGATGGAATAGTAAAGTCTCAAATTATGAACAATAATTCCATGATAAGACCGCTCTACAGTGCCAACAATTAACTTACATCAATTCCAGATATGAATTCAGATTTTGGCAAAAACAGACTAAGGTGGTCACCTCAGCAATTCCTCCACTAAATGAGTTTCTGTTCACCAGAAAAGAAAGGGAGGGAGGGAAGGAAGGAGGGAGGGAGGGAGGGAAGGATGGGCTATTTGCTGCTGCTGCTGCTGCTGCTGCTGCTGCTGCCTACAAAGAAAAGAAGACCTACCTAGACTTGTCTTGCATAGTTTAAGTATTATTTCTTTGAACATGAAGTCTGGAGCTAGATGACAGAAACTCAGTACAAAACACAGATTAGCATGTTTGGGAGTCTCATGAACACAAAATGGAAAATGGAGAACTCCAAATACTCTATCCTCACATGACAACATACAGAGGGGAAAATATTGATTATTTGTTTATTTACTGGTCATAAGCCAGCTTCTTGTCAAAAAGTAAATTTTTTCCTGGCAGCCCTCTCCTTCACAGGGCCAGTAGTCAGAAACAAGCTTCATGTGGACCCCAAGTTTCACACTGATATAAGAGACCCGTGTGTCATTACTGCCGTACATCAGTCATTATTCATTCATCAACTGGGCCTCAATGTGTTTGCAAGCAGGAAAATAAGCTATACTCAGGCCACCCTTGTGTGCAGCACTTAGAAACATTCTTAGATCTTAAACCAAGTGTTTGCTTCAAATTCAGAGAAGTTCAGAAAGCAAAGAGGGCCCCACCCTGCAATCTGAGCCAAGCAGGGATCTGAGTGACTGAGGCTAGCTGGGTGGGGACCACGGGGTGCCGCAGTGTGTAGCCCATCAGAGGCTCTAGGTCTAACCATCATAAGGTCAAATAACTTAAGACTCCAGCAAAGTATAGCAGTCTCCTGAATAAGCAGCAATTCCTTCTCCAATAGTCACAGAAATACGGACAGACTGGCTTCAGCTCTCAAACAGAAAGCATTAAAACCTCATCTTTTACTAGGTGCCAGGGGCTATTTATACATCTGATCATCTCACTTTTTAAAACAAATTCTATGCATTCAGTTCTATCAGGCCCAGAGTCTTGGAGAGAAAAGCAAATTCCCCAGAAATGCAAAACTGGGTGGTAAGGCAAGACGTCATCTGTACTCAAGACTCAAACGACTTGAAGTCACAATGATGGGGGGGCTGTTCCCAGTGCTCTGTCATCACTCAGGAGAGGGACCCCAGGATCCTTAAGTATGACTCAGCTATTTCCCAAACCAATAACCACATTCACCTTCCTGTTCTGGGCCACTTCCACTGATTTAGGAACAGTGGCAGGCCTTAGGGCTCTGCCCCTCTGCAGTAGGTAGGAGTGAGGGATGGACATGAGGCCTCTTCAGACTCTTAAAATAGCCTGCTCTAGTCAACAGTGAATGCTGTTCCCTGACACAGCACCTTGAAGTGCAAGCGTGGGACACCCAACATCTTCCATGCAGACCATTTGGTGAGAAAATCCTGTCCTGGAATACTGCGTAAGTAAAAGGCAGCACCACAAAGACAGGACCGTGGCCTTTCTCATCAAACTGTTCCACTTCACCCAAACCCAAAAGTAACCAGAAAGCCACTGCAGCTCCACTCTTAAACAACTCTTTTCTAGTGCTGTCTAATGTCTCTCTCCTGCACCCCATAAATCCCCATCTCATGTTTCTTTTGGATGCAGTAAAGGGATGGTGCTCAATGCTGTGATGTACAATACAATATTCTGTATAAAGCACACTGGTATGAGTGAACAGTTCAAGTAAAATCTGTCCTGTAGTTCTATTTGGCCTTAACATGTATGTTTTATAATACATGGCCAACTTGAAAGTTCTATCTTCCATAGTATATGGAAAATAACATGAGATCAAATTATAAGAACATAACAAAGGGGCTGGAGAGATGGGTCAGTGGTTAAGAACACTGGTTGTTCTTGCAGAAGACCCAGGTTCGAATCCCAGCATGCACATGGCAGCTAACAATTGTCCATAACTCCAGTTCTGGGGGATCCGACGGCCTCTTCTGTCCTCTGCAGGCACTGCACGACATGGGTGTACTTACCTACATGCAGGCAATACACGCATACACAAAAAATAAAAATAATAAATATTTTTAAAAATAAAAAAAGAACAAAAAAAAATGGAACTGGAGAGATGACTCAGCAGTTAAGAACACTTGCCATTCTTCCAGAGGAGCCGGGTTCAATTCCCAGCACCCACATGGCAGCTAACAACCATCTGTAACTCAAGTGCCAGGGGATCCAACAACCACTTCTAGTTTCTGCAAGCACTGCATGCATGTGGTCACTTATTACATACATACAGGCAAAACACTCATGGGCATAAAATAACAATAAAACATTTCTTAAAAAAGAATATAACAAAGTCTAACAAAGCTATACAGGTTGGTTTTGACTGCCTCTTCTTTTCATGTTCCATTGCCTCATACACCTTTAGTTATCCTGTTACATATTTGAGTTAGTATTAGAAGAAAACTTCTGGAGCTTTCTTGTCAATCAGGTTGACATCTTACCAGCATTCATATCTTTAAACTTCTGCTTGAGCTCAGTAGGAGTAAGACGATACTGGTCAAGACCATCATTCCAGTAAATTCGGTCCAGGACTTGAAGATCTCCTCCAATCAGCCAATCTCCTTGTTCCATAACCATCTAATAGGAAGCAACAGAAAACCATCTGCTTCAATAGAAACCAACTCAAAATAAGCAGGAACACTATTCTCACACAAGCTAAGCACGGCTGCTGTAAGCAACTCTCCATCTTAACAGCCACAGCAAATCAACGGGGTTTGCTTATCAACTGCACTGGAATTAGAGACGCCAGAGAAACAGAAAGCTGCAATTTTTTAAAATACTTGTGGGACAACTTTTGAATGCGTATCTGAAAGGCAACCAAAACCCAGGTGAATGATTATTACTATTTTAACAACAAAACAGCATTCTTTTCACTGTTATTAGATGTTATTAATTATAATTATGACCTTGGATTACTCCATCCTCTGTTCTCCACACTCAAAACTTGTGAACCACTAATGACCACTGATAATCAAATTTACACAAATTTGTCAAACTCAGTGACAAATTCATTCACACGTCCTCAAATTTCATCCAGCCTCTCTCATCTTGTTCTGCGTCTGCAAGACAATGCAGCAGGTCAGGACCTGTCTGTCCACACAGCCCAAGTCACCCTTCCCCTACACTGCAATGGTTTATGTCCACCATGCACTTCATTTCTTTGAAAGCTCGAAGTCTGCTTTAAATGCCAAATAACTGATAGAAATTTGACTACAGTGCTAACATTTTCACACACAATACATAAAGTAAATAAGGCACTTTGGGGAAGCTAATCATATTTTACTGCTTTCCCACCAGAAACACAATGTTAAGAGACCAAAATAGATTAAGCCATCCTGGTGTGGGCTCCCACTGTGGCCTGACCTCACATCTGCCTTGTAAGAAGATGATTAACATCTTTTCCCACCACTAAATTCCAAGAGAACAAATCCATGTCCAGCACACCCCCAGCCCTACATTCGAGCCAGCACTGAGCTCAGTGCCTGGCATATAGTAGATACTTTAAAAATATTTGTTATAGACTGAGTTGTTCATGTAGCTAAGCACAGGCTTAGCATGTAAAAAGCCCTGGATTGAATCAACTTGAAGAAACTACAAAGACTCACTGAATAAATATTTACAGGGACCCAAACGACAAGAACATCTGTTCATTGCACCCATCTAAAATCCAGCCACAAGTCTGCAAAGATGCACAAAGGAACATTAACACACATAATGGCAACATTTCAGTACAAACATTACTGGCAAGTCAAGAGAAAACGCAGCAAGATGCGTCCAGGACCTTAATGTACGGGTGGTTCTTGCACGTCGTTCCCCACTGTCTGGCGCAACGCTCCTCTTTTCTGTGCTCAAAAAACTCTGGATTTCGGAGAATAGCCACACGGCGGCCCTCATACATCAGAGCAAATGCCGTGCAGCCGTCCAGCCTCTCTTTGTCCTCATGTGTAGCTGTCAGAACTATAGGCACTGACAAGTTAATGACAACCCCTGCAGGACCAAAAGAACAAAGCACACAGCTGAGATTATTCAGTGGGTTCAGTACACTCTTCTTCATCTTCAGTGACACACTTCAAACCAGGAGCCCTCGAGGTAGTTCAGCAGTGAAGAGCACTGGACACCAAGCCTGACAACCTGAGCTCACTCCTGGAACTCACATGGCAGAGGCGAGAACTAACTGCTGCAAGCTGCCCCTCCCCCACCACCTCTGCCCTCCACAAAGGCACAGTGGCAAGCACCTACACAAGTAGAGCACAAAAGAAAAAGAAATGCTAAAAAAAAAATGTAGCCATGTATAGCAGAAACACTCAGGAGGCAGAGGCAGGTAGATCCCTGAAATCAAGGCCAGCCTGGGATGGTCTACATAGCAAGTTCCAGGCAGCTGAGGTTACAGTGATACTCTGTCTCAAAAAAAAAAAAAAGAACCAGTGTCACTTGATACCTGGCCAAAAAAAAAAATCAGGAGAGGGAACAAACTTGTTCAGAAATTTTAAGGGGAAGGGAGAAGAAGGGTACTCCCTAGTCCCTTCTCACTCTCCCTGCCTCCTGGGTGCCATGAGTGAGGGCATCCCTCCTCTATGATGATTCCTCTTTGCCACAAGCCTAAAAGCAATGGAGTCAGGTGCCCATAAACTGAAATCTTGGAGCAAAACATACCTTTCCTTCCTTAAATTATGTATCTCAGGTATTTTGTTATAGCAACAGAAAGCTGACTAGCACAAAGAGAATGATTGGACTTGCATTTTCTAATACCTTCACTTCCCAGTTTAAAGATATCATACTATAAGAAAATTTTGCAGCAATGAAGCTGGGTTCTATGACACTCAAAAATATTTTCTTTAATATATACTCAAGTAAACTTACTAATAATATACAGCATACAACTGAAGGCAGCTAGTTATGATGCTAATATATTAGACATTCATTACTTTGGGAACCCCCCCCCAATCACCAACACCCTGATCTTTTTGAGACAAGGTCTCCCTGTAGCCCCCACCTGTCCTGGAACTTGCTATGTAGACTAAGGTGGCCTCACAGAGATTTACCTGCCTCTGCCTCCTGAGTGCTGGGATTAAGGGCATGCATGCCCAGCTTACTTTGGAAACTTTCTTAATGGTTTAAATAGGAACCAGGCAAAGTGGCACACACCTATAATCTCAGCTACTTGGGAGACTAAGGCAGGAGGATCACAAGTTTAAGGCCAGCCTAGGCTGCAGACTAAGTTCAAGGCTAGCCTGGGCAACTTACTGAGACTCAGTAGTACAGCACTTGCCTGAGTTTGATCCCCAGAACAATGCAAAAAACAAAATAAATAAAACTGTAAAAGAACATTCATTTACATCATAGCACATTTCATGTTATTGCCAAAGATCTTTGACAAAAGGAATTTAAAGGGATTTCCCTTTGCAAAACTTTGCAAGAAGACCCAGGGGCATGTGTAAGAGGGATGAAGGAATCCTTAGAAGTTTAAAAAAGGAAACCTAAAACATAGATAAAGCTTGGAGAACCTGTATGATAGTAATATCCTATGTGATGGGCTTTAAAAGAACATAATCAGGCATGGCAGGACACAGAGACAGGCAGATCTCTGTGAGTGCCAAGGCCAACCTGGTCTATGTTAGGTAGAGAGCGGGTGGGAGCGAGCGGGTGGATGGAGGAAGGCACCAAGTCACAGATGGAATTCTCAGCGGGATACAGATTTATTGTGCACGGGGCACCTTTCCCTCGGGGAAGGGAAAGATGTCAGGGAAAGATGTCCGGGAAAGATGTCAGCCCACGGGTTGTGAGCTGGGACTTTATATATGGGGGCTTTAGGGTGTGGAAGGGGGGAATGTTTGGGGGAGAAATCAGGGAGGGGGAAGCAGGAAAAGCAGGTAGGATTAGGGTCT